GCCTCCAGCCCCCTGATCATCTTTGTTGCTCTTCTCTGCACTCTTTCTAGAGTCTCAACATCTGTTGTTAAATCGTGGTGCCAAAACTGGATGCAGTCTTCCAAGTGTGGCCTTACCAAGGCTTTGTAAAGTGGTAGTAACACTTCACATGGTCCTGATTCTATCCCTCTGTCAATGCAGCCTAGCCCTGTGTTGGCCTTTTTGGCAGCTGCAGCACACGGCTGGCTCCTATTTGAGGGATCGTCCACTAGGACTCCGAGATCCCTCTCACAGTTACTTTGCAGATGACTGCAAAGAATATAAAACCCTTCCATCCTCCACCGTTCAGTCAGAACCGAAGAAGCTTCTTGCATGAGAAGCAAAGCGTCTTCAAGGAAAAGAAACAAAGAAAGTCCAGTTGCCTCTTGAAAAAGCAACTTTGGGACCACCCTGATCTGGGGGATGGACAATCTCCATGGACCCCTGGCTTAACAAGATGCTTCCACCAAAATTTTGGGCCAGGAGCTGAGTTCTTGGATTCATTTCTTGTGAGCTGCTAAGTCAGGGAATCCCTGGAAGAGAGGCAAACAAACACAGCCAAGATTATTTAGTCGTCAGTTGTCTCAGATGCTGCGCTGTGCTCCAGTGCCCTTAAAATGGAATTAGTTCAAATGATAGTAATAGTAATAGTAGTAAAGTTGGAAGGGACCTTGGAGGTCATCTAGTCCAACCCCCTGCTCGGGCAGGAAACCCTACACCATTTCGGACAAATGGCTGTCCAGTCTCTTCTTAAAAACTTCCAGTGTTGGAGCATTTACTGCTTCTGGAGGCAGGTTGTTCCACTGATTAATTGTTCTCACTGTCAGGAAGTTTCTCCTTAGTTCTAGGTTGCTTCTCTCCTTGATTAGTTTCCACCCGTTGCTTCTTGTCCTGCCTTCAGGTGCTTTGGAAAATAGCTTAATTCCCTCTTCTTTATGGCAGCCCCTGAGATATTGGAATACTGCTATCATGTCCCCCCTTGTCCTTCTCTTCGTTAAACTAGACATACCCAATTCTCGCAACCGTTCCTTATATGTTTTAGCCTCCAGTCCCCTAATCATCTTTGTTGCTCTTCTCTGTACTCTTTCTAGAGTCTCAACATCTTTTTTACATCGTGGTGACCAAAACTGGATGCAGTATTCCAATTCAAGGCAAGTGTGGCTTTACCACGTATTAACACTTCACATGATCTTGATTCTATCCCTCTGTTAATGCAGCCTAGCACTGTGTTGGCCTTTTTGGCAGCTGCAGCACACTGCTGGCTCATATTTAAGTGATTGTCTACTAGGACTCCGAGGTCCCTCTCACAGTTACTACTATTGAGCATGGTGCCACCTATGCTGTACTTGTGCATTTGGTTTTTCTTGCCTAAATGTAGAACCTTGCTTTTTTCACCATTGAATTTCATTTTGTTAGTTAGTGCCCAGTGTTCAAGTCTGTCCAGATCCTTCTGTATCTGAAGCCTGTCTTCTGGAGTGTTGGCTATTCCTGCCAGCTTGGTGTCATCTGCTGGGAGGAAATTAGCTCGACGATTAATTTTAATTAGCTCTGAGATGCTCTAGAACAGTGGTTCTCCACCTGTGGGTCGGGACCCCATTTGGGGTCGAACGACCATTTCACGGGGGGTTGCCAAACAACGCAGTCCGCCATTTTTTCCCCCTTTTCCTTAGCTGTGCTCCTCCCTTTTATTCTATTGGCTTTTGAAAGCCAATAGAATAGACTTTCTTGAATAGAGTCTAATTCTATTGGCTTTCCAAAGCCAATAGGAATTGTCCAGGCTGTCTCTGCCCTGCTGAGCCCGCCAAAAGTCCCATTCTGCAAACGGTGCTGCACCAGTTGAGTAGTCCTCGACTTACGACCGGTTGAGTAGTCCTCGATTTACGACTGGTTGGGGGTCGCGGCATTAAAAAGGTTGAGAACCACTGCTCTAGAAATCCTGAACGATTCCACAGGCAAAGCCTTCGGGCAAAAGCTCGCGACCGTCTCGCCCAGCGAAAAAATATTAGGCGAACAAGTGGATTTTAAACCTTGAACTTTTTTTACTAGGCATTATGTCTGAAAAGATTAATAATAAGCAGAAATGATATTTAATTCTACATATTACCACAGCAGCGAGAATACTTTTTGCACAGTACTGGAAGAATGAAGGATTGCCATCAGAAGAAGAAATAATCACGAAAACATTGGAATGTGCAGAGATGAACAGACTAACTATGAGGCTGAAAGGCGAAGAAAATACGGACTATTATAAAATTTGGAATTTATTCTATTCTTGGTTAGAGAAAAGACTGAAGGATTTAGGAAGGGAACATGTATTAGCTTAGCAAACACCAGACAACTTGTTTGATTGGAAAAATTAACATATGTGGATGAAAACAAAAAAATAATAAAAAAGATTGTTGAGAAAAAAAAGAATTGCTGGTCTTCGACTTACGACAGACCGTTTAGCGACTGTTCAAAGTTAACGGTGACCAGTGACCGTCGTTCACACTTAACGACCGTTGCCGCATCCCCGGGGTCGCGGGATCCAAATTCAGACGCGTGGCCACTGACTCGTATTTACGACGGTCGCAGCGTCCCCGGGGTCACGTGATTTTCCCTTTTGCGACCGTCTGACGAGCCGAGTCAGCGGGGCAAGCCGAGATTCGCTTAACGACCGTGCTGGGAACTTAACAACTGCCGTGATCCGCTCAACGGTTGGGGCCAGGAAGGTTGTAAAATGGGGCAAAACTGACTTAAACAGCTGCCTGGCTTAGCGACGGTAATGTTGTGGTCGTAAGTTGAGGACTGTCTGCCTTTTTCCAGGAATGGTGTTATTTTCACGGCTACGTCCGAGGACACGTGGATTCCTGGGTGGTGCTCACTTCCTGCTCTGGCTTCAGGTAAGAAGAGAATAAGGGAAGAACAGAGCTGGAAGGGGCCTTGGAGGTCATCTAGTCCAACCCCCTGCTCAAGCAGGAGACCCTCTACCATTTTGGACAAATGGTTGTCCAATCTCTTCTTAAAAGCCTCCAGTTTTGGAGCACCCACAACTTCTGGTGGCGAGCAGTTCCACTGGTTGATTGTCCTCACTGTCGGGAAGTTTCTCCTTCATTCCAGGTTGCTTCTCTCCTTGATTTAGTTTCCATCCATTGCTTCTTGTCCTGCCTTCAGGTGCTTTGGAGAATAGGTGGAACCCCCCCCCTTTGTGGCAGCCCCTCAAATATTGGAACACTGCTATTATGGCACCCCGAGTCCTATCTCTATTTGCTTAGACAGCATTTTTCAACCGTGAGCTCTTTAAGGTGGGTGGACTTCAATTCCCAGAATTCAGCAATTTAAAGAACCTATTGAGGCCGTAAAGCAGGGGTGTTCATACTGGGCCCTTTTATGACTTGTGGACTTCAACTCCCAGAATCCCTCAGCCAGCGTGCCTGGCTGAGGAATTCTGGGAGTTGAAGTCCACTCCTCTTAAAGTCTATATCAGGGGTCTTCAAACTGGGCCCTTTTAGGACTTGTGGACTTCAACTCCCAGAATCCCTCAGCCAGCGTGCCTGGCTGAGGAATTCTGGGAGTTGAAGTCCACTCCTCTTAAAGTTATATCAGGGGTCTTCAAACTTGGCCCTTTAATGACTTGTGGACTTCAACTTCCAGAATCCCTCAGCCACCGTGCCTGGCTGAGGAATTCTGAGAGTTGAAGTCCACAAGTCATTAAAGGGCCAAGTTTGAAGACCCCCCCCCTGCCCTAAAGCAATATTTCTCAACGCCAACCGTTTTGTGGACTTCAACTCCCAGAATTCCCCCTGCGCTGGCTTGGGGAATTCTGGGAGTTGAAATCCACCCATTTGTCCAGGCCGAGAAATGCTGCTCCCTGCAGGGTCTCCATCCCTTGCAAATTAGGAACAGGCCCGCCTGGGAACGGGTCACGTCATCAAAACACAATATAAAACCGTTGGGAGCCTGGCTTAGCATTTGCACCTCCAAGCAACGGAAAGGAAGGAAAATGAGCCAGGCCCAACTTCGAGGTGTGAATTCAGATCCAGCCACGCTTGGAAAGCAGAGAGATTTCCGTGGCTATCCGTGGCCCCGTCTGGCTGACATCAGGAGTCGGGAATGAGGTCTGCCCCTGAGAGAGAAGGAGGGGTGGGGTCTGCATGTGGGGCTGCATAACTGAAGGATGACTGCACTAGCCAGCATTCTTGGCTCAGCCAGCAAGAGAGACTGGCAGGGCTATTTTGGGTCCTGCAGAAGCCGACTCCCGGGTGGGCGGGGATGGAAAGGGGGAGGGAAGGTCTCCATGCAGGAACAGCCGAGCCTCCATTTCCACCCCCCCTCCCCCAGCTCTTCCGCCTCCCCTCCCCAGCCTTTCAAATGTCTGGGAAAACATCAGCCTCCTTTGAAGGCATCCAAATTTGCAGGATTCCCAGGACTATGAGACTGTCGGGAGAAAATGCGTTCCAGGCATTTCCTCATTCAAAAAAAATAAAAATAAAAAAATGACTTGGGAAGAAAGAAGCAAGGAGAGCAATTGGAAAGGAGGCCACCAGGAGATCGTGTTCCTAGGAAGGCACTACATGCCAAAAATGTTCTAGGACTAGAGTTCAAAGAGCTATTCCATCCTTTCCTATTCTTCTCTTGTCTTCTCTTCTCTTCTCTATCCAGTCCATTCTCTATTCTATTCTGTTCTGTGCTGTGCTGTGCTGTCCTATCCTATTCTATATTCTATCCATTTCATATTCTTCTCTTCTCTTCTCTTCTATAATTCCTATTCTATTCTATTCTAGTCTATTCTGTCCTATCTGATCCTATCCTATTCTATATTCTATCCATTCCATATTCTTCTCTTCTCTTCTCTTCTCTTCTCTTCTATTCTATTCTATTCTATTCTATAATTCCTATTCTAGTCTATTCTATTCTAGTCTATTCTGTCCTATCTGATCTTATCCTATTCTATATTCTATCCATTCCATATTCTTCTCTTCTCTTCTCTTCTATGCTGTGCTATTCTATTCTGTCCTATCCGATCCTATCCTATTCTATATTCTATCCATTCCATATTCTTCTCTTCTCTTCTCTTCTCTTCTATGCTGTGCTATTCTATTCTATTCTATGCTATTCTATTCTATGCTATTCTATTCTATGTTCTGTTCTGTTGTGTTGTGTTGTGTTCTGTTCTGTTCCATAGGAGGAAAAGGACTGTGGGGTCCTTGGTGCTCTCTAAGCTTGCTGGTTTTTTTGCAGACATTTCATGACCCAACTAGATAACATCATCAGTGCTAGAAGGCTGTGGGGTTTGAAGGGAGGAGGAGGATAATAATTTGGGATTTCCTTGCTTCTTGGTGGTATTCTTGCAGATGTTTCATTACCCAACCAGGTAACATCATCAGCACTAGAAGGGAGTGTACTAGTGGCTTCTCCTGTCAGTATTGGGGGAGTGTTCTTGATGATTCTTCAATCAGGTTGCCATTGACTATTGGCTTGTTTGTCTGAGGTGGTAGTTCCTTGATTGGGGTATCGTTGTCTGCTTGCTTGTTTGTCAGGTGTTAATCCCTGCTTACCTTTGTGTTGATAGCTGGCGAGGAGGTGTTTCCAATCTTTTTGTTTCCTTTTCAACCCTTGGTTTGCCTCTTTTGCATGCTGTGTAAACGTTGTTTATCTCTACGTGCCCGTTGATGCCGAAGCTTCCAGGAATTTTGGAACTTAGTATTTTGGAACTTACCTTGTTGGTCTAGGACAGGGGTAGGCAACCTTGGCTCTTTTATGACTCGTGGACTTCAACTCCCAGAATTCCTGAGCCAGCATGGCTCAGCTTGGAAACCTCTCCCTTCCCCTCAGTGTGGCTAGCTAAGGAATTCTGGGAGTTGAAGTCCACCAGTCATAAAGCGGCCTAGGCCTAGGCCAGAGGTAGGCAACCTTGGCTCTTTTATGACTCGTGGACTTCAACTCCCAGAATTCCTGAGCCAGCCATGCTGAGGGGAAAGGGAGAGGTTTCCAAGCTGAGCCACGCTGGCTCAGGAATTCTAGGAGTTGGAGTCCACCAGTCATAAAAGAGCCAAGGTTGCCTACCCCTGGTCTAGGATGTTCACCCTTTTTCAGTTGAAACTGCGGTGGGAAGCCTGTCCCCATTTTGGGAAATTAAAAGAATTTCCAACCTGTCTCCTGGCTGCTAGTCGGCGTTTGTGGATGCGGTTAAAAAGGCTCCACTTGAGTTTCAGAGGCTGGCTTTGAAATCCAAGGAGGGCTGTCTGTGACACGAAACCCTTTTAGCGTGAGTTAGGATGACGATTTTTCACTTGGACCGTTGCGGTTTCAACGCGGAACGAAGAATTTCAAGCCGAAGTGGTTTTGCATTGAAGCCATAGAAAATAGCGCCGGCTGAGATCTTTGCTGCCAATTACACGCCGGCCTTGGGTGAGGCGAACCCAAAGCACAATTTGAGAAAGTGCTGGTTTTTTTCCAGCTCTGGCTATTTTCCAGGTTTGGGGTGAAGGCGAGGTGAAGGTTGGCCCCAGGATAAAATCACCCCTAGAGAGGGAAGATCTGGCCTGAATCTGAAACAAAGTCGAAGGGGAGATGAGGAAGCAGTGCTCAACTATCTGACAGTCACGTTAGAGAGTTCACGGTTTCTGAACTTGGCCGGTGGAAGATGGGTGGACTTCAATTCCCAGAATTCCCCAGCCAGCGCATGGAGGGAATTCTGGGAGTTGAAGTCCACCCATCTTCAAGTGGCCACGTTTAAGAAACATCACTCCAAAGTCTATTTTGAGAGGATCACTCAGTCAAGGTGTGGGGGAGAGAGAGAGGGAGGGAGGAAGGGAGAGAGAGATGGACGGAGGGAGAAAGAGAGGGAGAGAAAGAGATGGAGGGAGAGAGAAAGGGAGAGAGAGAGATGGAGGGAGAAAGAGAGGGAGAGAAAGAGATGGAGGAAGGGAGGGAGGGAGGGTGGGAGAAGGAGGGAGAAAGATGGAGGGAGGGAGAAAGATGGAGGGAGGAAAGGAGAAAGATGGAGGGAGGGAGAGAGAGATGGAGAGACGGAGAGAGAGATGGAGGCAGGGAGAGAGATGGAGGGAAGGAGAGATAGAGAGAGAGGGAGGGAGGGAGAGATGGCGGGAGGGAAAGAGAGGGAGGGAGACTTGGAGGGAGAGAAAGGGGGAGAGAGAGATGGACGGAGGGAGAAAGAGAAGGAGAGAAAGAGATGGAGGAAGAGAGAGAGATGGAGGGAGGGTGGGAAAAGGAGGGAGAAAGATGGGGGGAGGGAGAGGAGAAAGATGGAGGGAGAGAAGGAGAAAGATGGAGGGAGGGAGATAGAGATGGAGAGAGATGGAGGGAGGGAGAGAGAGATGGAGGGAGGGAGAGATGGAGGGAAGGAGAGGGATGGAGGGAGGGAGAGAGAGATGGCGGGAGGGAAAGAGAGGGAGGGAGACATGGAGGGAGAGAGAAAGGGGGAGAGAGAGATGGACGGAGGGAGAAAGAGAGGGAGAGAAAGAGATGGAGGAAGGGAGATGGAGGGAGGGAGTGTGGGAGAAGGAGGGAGGGAGAGAGAAAGATGGAGGGAAGGAGAAAGATGGAGGGAGAGAGAGATGGAGAGAGAGAGATGGAGGGAGGGAGAGAGAGATGGAGGGAGGGAGGGAGGGAGAAATGGATGGAAGGAGAGAGATAGAGGGAGAGAGACAGATGGAGGGAGGGAGAGAGACGGAGGGAGGAAGACAGAGATGGAGGGAGGGAGAGAGAGATGGAGAGAGGGAGATGGAGGGAGGGAGGGAGACAGGGAGGGAGGAAGACAGAGATGGAGGGAGAGAGAGATGGAGGGAGGGAGAGAGAGATGGAGGGAGGAAGACAGAGATGGAGGGAGGAAGACAGAGATGGAGGGAGGGAGCGAGGGAGGAGAGAAAGAGGAAGAGAGATGGACGGAGGAAGAAAGGGAGAGAGAGAAAGGGAGGGGGAGAGAGAGGGAGGGAGAGAGAGAGAGAAAGAGAGAAAGATTGCTTGGGAATTCTGGGAGTTGAAGTCCACACATCTTCAAGTGGTCAAGTTTGAGAAACATTGCTCTAAAGTCTATTTTGAAGAGGATCACTCAGTCAAGATAGAAGAGAAGTTGAGAGAGAGAGAGAGAGAGAGAGAGAGAGAGAGAGAGAGAGAGAGAGAGAGAGAGAATGTCTGGGGAATTCTGGGAGTGAAAGTCCACGCACCTTCAAATGCCTAAGGAGGAGAAATGCTGCTCCAGGGTTTCCCAAAGACGATTATTCCCGCATCCCCTTGAGCTCGTGGGCCCTGCGAGACAGTGGGGGTCCACCCTCCATCCCATTCTCTTTGCTCTCCACCACCCAGCGGGCTGATTGTCCTCAGTCACAACAGCAGCTACTACTTGAAACCCCCCGCGGACTCCAGTTCTGAAGCTCACACCCTGTATCGGGCGGAGGACGTGTGGATCAAAGGGGGGACGTGCCAACAAGGGGACCTGTTGCCCAGCAGCGTGGCCGACGTCGCTGGACTCTTCCGGCCATCGAAGCGGGTAAGGGGACCCCCTTTTTGGATCTCGCCCTGGCTAAGTTGGAGGAGATTCAGGCCAGACTCGCCATTAGATGCGTGGAGGCAAGACGTAGAGCAGCGGTCTTCAAACTTGGCCCTTTTATGACTCGTGGACTTCAACTCCTCCTAAAGTCTATATCAGGGGTCTTCAAACGTGGCCCTTTTAGGACTTGTTGACTTCAAATCCCAGACTTCCTCAGCCAGGCATGCTGAGGATTCTGGGAATTGAAGTCCACTCCTCTTAAAGTCTATATCAGGGGTCTTCAAACTTGGCCCTTTAATGACTTGTGGACTTCGACTCCCAGAATTCCTCAGCCAGGCACGCTGGCTGAGGAATTCTGGGAATTGAAGTCCACTCCTCTTTAAAGTCTTTATCATGGGTCTTCAAACTCGGCCCTTTTAGGACTCGTGGACTTCGACTCCCAGAATTCCTCAGCCAGGCACGCTGGCTGAGGAATTCTGGGAGTTGAAGTCCACTCCTCCTAAAGTCTATATCAGGGGTCTTCAAACTTGGCCCTTTAATGACTCGTGGACTTCAACTCCCAGAATTCCTCAGCCAGGCATGCTGGCTGAGGAATTCTGGGAGTTGAAGTCCACAAGTCCTAAAAGAGCCAAGTTTGAAGGCCAAGTTTGATTTTAATTCCCATATTGGGTCCTAGCGGTTAGTTGTTTAGGGGGGCGGAGAAGGATGAAGACCAGTTCTGGGGTCTCTTTGCTGGGGCCTCTTCTTTTTTTTTTTCTCTCGGCAATACGAAACCGTTTGTCTTGCAGAAAAGGAGGGATTCTTGGAGAGCGTTGAAGTATATGGAGCTTTTCATTGTGGCCGATTACTCCCTGGTGAGCGTTCTTTCTCCTCCAGCTGGGAGGGCCCAGCGCGTCCTGGAAGGGATTCAACTGTCGGAATTTCCCAGTTCTCCCCAGCCTCAGACCAGTACAGCGCCGTGAGAGGTGTGCCTTTGCACACTGGTGGCTGTGGAACAGATAATTCGCCTTTTTGGAAGAAGGAAACTTTTTGCCGTGCACGTCTCTTCCTTTTTCTCACTCCTCGTTCTCTCACAGTTTAGAGCTCAAAAGCTGAATCTGGGAGTCACAAAGCAGCGGATTCTGGAGATCGCTAATTATGTAGACAAGGTAATTGCTGGTTGAATAACCACCAACTCCTTCCTTCCTTCCTTCCTTCCTTCCTTCCTTCCTTCCTTCCTTCCTTCCTTCCTTCCTTCCATTCCTCTCTCCCTCCTTCCTTCCTTCCTTCCTTCCTTCCTCCCTCTCTCCCTCCCTCCTTCCTTCCTTCCTTCCATTCATCTTCCCTCTCTCCCTTCCTTCCATCCATCCACCCTCCCTCCCTCCCTTCCTTCAACCCTCCTTCCTTCCTTCCATCCTCCCTCTCTCCCTCCCTCTCTCCCTCCCTTCAACCCTCCCTTCTTCCTTCCTTTCTTCCTTTCTGCCTTCCTTCCTTCTTTCCTCTCCCCCTCCCAATTTGTTTGCTCTTTTATTCTTCCCTCCCTTCAACTCTCCTTCCTTCCTTCCTTTGCCTTCCTTCTTTCCTTCCTTCCTTCCTCCTTCTCTCCCTCCCTCCCTTCAACCCTCCCTCCCTCCTTCCTTCCTTTCTCCCTCCCTCCCTCTCTCCCTCCCTCCCTCCCTCCTTTCAACCCTCCTTCCTTCCTTCCTTCCTTCCTTTCTGCCTTCCTTCCATCCTCCCTCTCTCCCTCCCTCCCTTCAACCCTCCTTCCTTCCTTCCTTCCTTCCTTTCCCCCTCCCAATTCCTTCGTTTGCTCTTTTATTCCTCCCTCTCTCCCTCCCTCCCTCTCTTCTCTCTTGGAGTTTTTCTCCACGGATGCAAGATGCAAAGCCCTTCCCAGGGTTATCCAGTTGGCATCTGCACCTGCCAGGGAATCAGAGGGCCTTTTCCCAGTTTTTCTTCCCACTGACCCATTCCTGCTTCTCACCCTCAGTTCTACAGGTCCCTGAACATCAAGGTGGCCCTGATCGGCCTGGAAGTGTGGACGGATCAAGACAAGTGCGCGGTCAGCCAGGACGCCCACGCCACCCTCGTCTCCTTCCTCCAGTGGAAGAAGCCGCTGAGAAACCGCAAGAAGCACGACAACGCCCAGCTCCTCACGTGAGTCCTTCCTCGGCCCTCCCCAAAAGTCAAGATGGCGGCACAACACTGGTGAAAAAGGGAGGGCCGGGGCTCCAGGGGGCAGCCATCTTGACTTTTTTGACATGTTCCTTCACTGTGGGCACTTCTGCTCCCCCTGGCATGGGATGGATGGATGGATGGATGTAAGGAAAGGATAGGATAGGATAGGAAAGAGATAGCTAGCTAGCTGGATGGATGGATGGATAGATAGATGGATGGATGGATGGATGATAGATAGATAGATAGATAACATATTTATATCTAATGATAAGTATAGATGGATGGATATAATAGAGATAGGTGCAATGGAAATAGATGTATGAGATAGATAGATAGGTAGATAGATAGATGAAATAGATAGATAAAATAGATAGATGGATATAAAGACAGACAGACAAATATATTTATGATAGATATATAGATCGACATATGGATATAGACAGATATATGATAGAGAGATAGATAGATAGATAGATAACATATTTATATCTAATGATAACTATAAATAGATGGATGGATGGATGGATAGATAGATAAATAGATAGATAGATAGATAGATAGATAGATAGATAGATAGATAGATAGATAAGGAAAGAATCAGGATGGATGGAGGGAAGGAAGCAGGGAGGGAGGGAGAAAAGGGAGGGAGGAAGGAAGGAAGGAAGGAAGGAAGGAAGGAAGGGGGAACATGGATGGATAGATGGGAGGGAGGAAAGTAAATAGATAAGGAAGGAAGGAAGGAAGGAAGGAAGGAAGGAAGGAAGAAGGGAGGGAAGGGATATAAGGAAGGAATCAGGAGGGAAGCAGGGACAGGGAGAGGAGGGAGGGAGGATAGAAGGAAGGAAGAAATGGGAAGGATGGATGGATGGATGGGTAGAGGGAGGTTAATACAGAGAAGGAAGGAAGGACAAAGGGAGTAAAGGAAAGAAGGGGGGCAGAAAAGGAAGGAAGGCATCGGGAGGAACGAAGGAAGGGAGGGAGGGAGGGAAAAAGGAAGGAAGGGAGGGACTATAATCTTTACTCCGTCCCCCATCATTGTCCCCTCCACTCTCTGCAGAGGGGTCACTTTCATAGGGACCACCATTGGGATGGCGCCCCTGGAGGGCATGTGCAGCGCGGAGAACTCCGGTGGGGTGAGCATGGTAAGAAGGAGATGTCTTCCCCAGACCCCTTCCTCTTGCTGATCGGGAGCTGCCCCATCGGGGATACGGGATGAAAATGCTCTTTGCTTGCCACACCTGGTGCCACTCGGGGGACGATCACAAGATCGCTTCTCTAGAGGCCAGGGCTCTCCACCTTGGGTAACTTTAAGGCCTGTGGACTCAACTCCCAGAATTCCCCAGCCAGCAGACCTGAGCTAGAGGATAGATGGATGGATGGATGGATGGATGGATGGATGGATGGATGGATGATAGATAGATAGATAGATAGATAGATAGATAGATAGATATAGATGGATGGATAGATAGATAGATAGATAGATAGATAGATAGATAGATAGATAGATAGATATAGAGATAGATATAGAGATAGATAGAGATGGATAGATGAATGGATAGATAGATAGATAGAGATAGATAGATAGATAGATGATAGATAGATAAAGATAGATAGATAGATAGATAGATAGATAGATAGATAGAGAAAGAGATAGATAGATAGATAGATGATAGAGATAGAGATATAGATGGATGGATGGATGGATGGATGATATATAGATAGATAGATTATAGATAGATATATAGATGTAGATATAGATAGATGATATATATATATATATATATATATATATATATATATATATATATAGAGAGAGAGAGAGAGAGAGAGAGAGAGAGAGAGAGAGAGAGAGAGAGAGATGGATGGATAGATAGATGGAATATAGATAGATAGATAGAGAGATAGATAGATATAGATGTAGATATAGATATAGATGGATAGATATATATATAGATGATAGATATAGAGATAGATAGAGAGAGAAAGAGATAGAAAGATATAGATGGATGGATGGATGGATGGATGGATAGATGATATATATATATATAGATAGATGATAGATAAGTGATATAGATATAGATAGATGGATGGATGAATATAGATGATATATATATAGATAGAGAGATAGAGAGAGAGAGAGAGATAGATAGATAGATAGATAGATAGATGGACGGATGGACAGACAGCACTAGCACTAGCCCTTAGACTTATATACCGCCTCGCAGGGCTTCACAGCCCCCTCTTGAGTGGTTTACAGGGTCAATCTATTGCCCCCCCCCAACCATCGGGCTCCTCATTTTACCCACCTCGGAAGGACACACGGCCGAGTCGACCTTGAGCTGGTCAGGATCGAACTCTTGGCAGTGGGTGCGAGGGGAGGGACGGGCAACGCTTGGGGGGATATCTCCTCCTCCTCCTTCCCAAGCCCCCCCTTTCCAGAAACAAGCCCTACATCCTTGAAAGGCCTAACTTGGATGGCAAGATAAATCACCCCCCCCTCAATTCTGCTGTCGCCCCCCCCCCAGCTCAGGTGCTTGGAAAATCAAACTCCACCCCCTCCCCTTTGGAAGCTGCCCCCCCTTCCCCTCTTATAGCTGACGAACCTTCCTCTTTTTCCCCCTCCTCCTCTTCCTCCTCCTCCCCCCCCCCAGGACCACTCGGAGTTGCCCATTGGCGCCGCTGCCACCATGGCCCACGAGATCGGCCACAATTTCGGCATAAGCCACGACGCGGACGGCTGCTGCGTGGAGGCCACGGCATCCCAAGGGGGCTGCATCATGGCTCCGGCCACGGGGTAAAGCGAGGCGGCTACCGTTTTGGGGCGGGTGGACGATTGTCCCTGATAAAATACAGGCCGTCCTTGACTTACGACGGTTCGCTTAGTGACCGTCGGGCATTACAACGGCACTCCCCCAAAAGCGACTCGTGACCGTTTTTCACACTGAAACGACCGTGGCAGCCTCCCCCCCGGGTCACGTGATCAAAACTGAGTCGCTCGGCGACTGACTCGTATTTACGACGGTCGCCGTGTTCCCCCCCTTGGGGGGGGTCACGCGATCTCTTTTTGCGACCTTCTGGCAAGCAAAGTTGACGGGGGGGGGGGAAAGCCGGATTCGCTTAACGACCTGTCTTCCTAACTGAAGGCCTGCAGCGACTCACTTAACCACTGTGGCAAGCGAGGTCGTAAAAGGGAGCGGGAAAAAAAAAGATCGCTTCACAAATGTCTTACTCGGCAACAAAACTTTGGGCTGAATTGTGATCGTAAGTCGAGGAGTATCTGTAATAGAGTTGGAAGAGACCTGGGAGGTCTTCTAGACCAACCCCTTGCTGAATTAGGAGACTCTATATCATTTCAGACAAGTGGCTGTCCAGTCTCTTCTTAAAAGCCTCCAATAGTGGAGCAGCCACAGCTTCTAGTGGCAAGCTGTTCCACTGGTTAATTGTTCTCCCAGTCAGGAAATTCCTCCTTAATTCCAGGTTGCTTCTCTCCTGGATTAGCTTCCCTCCCTTCAGGTGCTTTGGAGATAGGTGGACCCCCTCCTCTTCTCTGTGATAGCCCCCCAAATACTGGAAAACATGTCACCCCTAGTTCGTCTCTTTATTAGACAGAATGACAGAGTCGGAAGGGAGCCTTGGAGGTCTTCTAGTCCAGCCCCCTGTTTAAGCAGGAGATCCTATACCAGGGTTAGGCAACCTTGGCTCTTTTATGACTGGTGGACTTCAACTCCCAGAATTCCTGAGGCAGCCATGCTGAGGGGAAAGGGAGACGTTTCCAAGCTTAGCCATGCTGGCTGAGGAATTCTGGGAGTTGAAGTCCTAAAGTCATGAAGGGGCCATAGTTTCCCCATGCTGGCTCAGGAATGCTGGGAGTTGAAGTCCACGAGTCATAAAGCGACCTAGGCCTAGGCCAGAGGTAGGCAATCTTGGCTCTTTTATGACTCATGGACTTCAACTCCCAGAATTCCTGAGCCAGCCATGCTGAGGGGAAAGGAAGAGGTTTCCAACTGAGCCAGGCTGGCTCAGGAATTCTGGGAGTTGAAGTCCACCAGTCATAAAGCGGCCTAGGCCTAGGTCAGAGGTAGGCAACCTTGGCTCTTTTATGACTCGTGGACTTCAACTCTCAGAATTCCTGAGTCAGCCTGGCTCAGCTTGGAAACCTCACCCTTTCCCCTCAGCATGGCTGGCTCAGGAATTCTGGGAGTTGAAGTCCACGAGTCATAAAAGGGCCAAGGTTGCCTACCTCTGGCCTAGGCCAGGGATAGGCAATCTTGGCTCTTTTACGACTCATGGACTTCAACTCCCAGAATTCCTGAGCCAACATGGGGGAAACTTTGGCCCCTTCATGACTTGTGGACTTCAACTCCCAGAATTCCTGAGCCAGTCATGCTGAGGGGAAAGGGAGAGGTTTCCAAGCTGAGCCCTGCTGGCTCAGGAATTCTGGGAGTTGAAGTCCACAAGTCATAAAAGAGCCAAGGTTGCCTACACCTGTCCTATACCATTTCAGACACGTAGCTGTCCAGTCTCTTCTTAAAACCTTTAAAAAATCCGAATTCTCTCCTCAAAAAAGGAAAAGAAAAAAAAAACATGCAGGTAGTCCTTGACTTACAACAGTTTCCCTTAATGTCCATTCAAAGTTACAACAGCCCTGAAAAAAAAGGGACTCAGGACCGTTTTTCACACCAGCATCCCGCTGGTCACGTGATCAAAATTCAGACGCTTGGCCACGGACTCGTATTTACGACGGTCGCCGTATCCCCTTTTTGCGAATTTCAAAAGTCGACGGGGAAGCCGGATCCACTTAACGACCCTGTTACTAACTTAACAAATTCAGCGATTCGCTTAACAGCTGCGCCAAGAAAGGCGGCCTGAGGGGTGAAAACTCACTTAACGGCTGTTTCGCTTAGCGACGGAAGCGTAGAGCTGATCCGCGGTCGTACGTCGAGGACTCCCTGTAAAACGACCTTGCGGGCAATGCTTAGCACTTGAGCGTTCCTGCCCGAGCAGAGGGTTTCCTGCCCGAGCAAGGGGGTTGGACTAGATGACCTCCCGGCTCCCTTCCAACTTTATTCCTATTCCTATTTTTTGTAATTTTTTTTTATTACTATCACAATTACAAGGAGAGTGGGAGTTCCAGTCCCACCTTCGTTACGAAAGCCCTCTGGATGGCCTTGGGCCAATCGTGAGCAGACCCTGAGTTCAAGTCCTGCCTCAGCCATGAAATCTCGCCGGCTGACTATTACTATTTTCCAAAGCACCTGAAGGCAGGAGAAGAAGCAATAGGTGGAAACTAATCAAGAAGAGAAGCAACTTAGAACTACGGAGAAACTTCCTGACAGTGAGAACAATTAACCAGTGGAACTACCTGCCTCCAGAAGCGGTGAATGCTCCAACACTGGAAGTTTTGAAGAAGAGACTGGACAGCCATTTGTCCAAAATGGTGTAGGGTTTCCTGCCTGAGAGGGGGTTGGACTAGATGACCTCCAAGGTCCCTTCCAACTTTACTACTACTACTACTACTATTATTATTATTATTATTATTATTATTATTATTATTATTATTATTATTATTATTTGTGTCTCGGATTCGGACTCAGCCAGGGAAATTCTGCAAAAATCCGTCTTTTCTCGTCCTGACTGGGTATCTCTTCCCCCCCCCCCGAATTCCAGGCACCCCTTCCCCCGTGTGTTCAGCACCTGCAGCCGCAGACAGCTGGAGGGCTACTTCTTGAAAGGGGGGGGCGCGTGCCTGTTTAACCTGCCGGACACCAAGGACCTGGTCGTGGGGAAGAAGTGCGGCAACGGTTTTCTTGAGGAAGGGGAGGAATGTGACTGCGGAGAGGTCGAGGTAGGTAGGGGTGGGGGGGGGCGGTAGCAGGGCTGGCATTGGAAAGCAAGTGGGGGGGGGTGGGTGAGCCGGGGGGGGGGCAAGGCTGACTGGGAGGAAAGCCACGGGGCCGAGTCTGGCAACGAGGCAGGGAGAGGGTCAAAAGAGAAGAATCTGATGGGCAGACTGGTGGAGTGGTTAAGGGGCTGGCTTAGGCACCCGGAGACAGTGAGTTCTAGTCCCGCCTTAGCCATAAAAGCCAGTAGGGTGACTTTGGGCCAATCACCAGGAGACGGTGAGTTCTAGTCCTGCCTTAGCCATAAAAGCCAGTAGGATGACTTTGGGCCAATCACCAGGAGTCAGTAAGTTCTAGTTCCAACTTAAGCATGAAAGTCAAATGGGTGACTTTGGGCCAATCACCAGGAGACTGTGAGTTCTAGTCCTGCCTTAAGCATGAAAGCCAGTGGGGTGACTTTGGGCCAATCACCAGGAGACTGGGAGTTCTAGTCCTGCCTTAAGCACGAAAGCCAGTGGGGTGACTTTGGGCCAATCACCAGGAGACTGTAAGTTCTAGTTCCATCTTAGGCACGAAAGCCAGTGGGGTGACTTTGGGCCAATCACCAGGAGACGGCAAGTTCTAGTCCTGCCTTAAGCACGAAAGCCAGTGGGTGACTTTGGGCCAATCACCAAGAGACGGTGAGTTCTAGTTCCACCTTAGGCAAAAAAAGCCAGTGGGGTGTCTTTGGGCTAATCACCAGGAGACGGTGAGTTCTAGTTCCGCCTTAGGCATGAAAGGCAACTGGTTGACTTTGGGCCAATCACCAGTGCTGGGCTATGGAAACGGATCAGGAGTGAAAAGAATCCACTTCCTTTTTTAGGAATGCACCAATCCTTGCTGTAACCCCCAGAATTGCACGCTGAAAGCTGGAGCGGAGTGCGCCCACGGGGAATGTTGTCATTCCTGCAAGGTAATAACCTAGACCTAGACTAATCGTGGTTTGATCCCTGCTACCCTCAGTCCAAAGAAAATAGCCTGCTTTGGCGGAAAGCTTCTTCTCTTTGGCCTCCGTAGCTCAAGACTGCCGGGATCCTGTGCCGACAGCCAGCTGGATCGTGCGACCTCCCGGAATATTGCACGGGCGCCTCCCCCTACTGCCCTGCCAATGTCTACTTGTTGGATGGCTCAACGTGTTCCCACGGAGGGGAGTATTGTTACAATGGCATGTGCATGACACACCACCAGCAGTGTGTCCAGCTGTGGGGACCAGGTAAGCATCACCTTCCCTTTGGCTCTGTCTCGGCCCGTCGTTTTTATTCGTTTGTGTGTATCCTGCCTTTATTACTTTGACTAATAAATACTTTTACTATTCTATTCTATTCTATTCTATTCTATTCTATTCTATTCTATTCTATTCTATTCTATTCCATTCCATATATTCTATTCTAATCATTATTCTATTCCATTCCATTCCTTATTTTATTATTCTATTCTATTCTAATTCTAATTCTATTCTTATTTCTATTCTAATTCTATTTCTATTCCTATTTTCCAATATTTATTCTATTCTGTTCTGTTCTATTCTATTCTATACTCTGTTCTATTCTGTTCTATTCTGTTCTGTTCTATTCTATTCTATTCCATTCCATTCCATTCCATTCTATTTTATTCTAATTCTAATTCTTATTTCTATTCTAATTCTATTCTTATTTCTATTCTAATTCTAATTCTATTTTCCAATATTTATTCTATTCTGTTCTGTTCTAATCTATGCTATTCTATATTCTGATCTATTCTATTCTATTCTATATTCTGTTCTATTCTATTCTATATTCTGTTCTATTCTATGTTCTGTTCTATTCTATATTCTATTCTATTCAGTTTTATTCTATTCTATATTCTGTTCTATTCTATTTTCTCTTCTCTTCTCTTCTCTTCTCTTCTCTTCTCTTCTCTTCTCTTCTCTTCTCTTCTCTTCTCTTCTCTTCTCTTCTCGTCCAGTCCAGTCCAGTCCCATCTATTCTTCCTGAGCTGATCTTTCTTTTAAATGCACTAGAAAAAAACACTTTTGAGGCTAAATCCTCTCACCCCACAGGAGCTTGGCCAGCCCCCGACGCCTGCTTCCAGGATGTCAACAGGGCTGGGGACATGTATGGCAACTGTGGGAAAGACCGACAAGGCAACTATGTGAAATGTGCCAAGAGGTGAGCGGATCCAGATGTTCGTTCTGAGGCCCCTAGTCAGATGACGTTTGCAGCAACAGCGTCAACCAAACAGATTCCCAGTTGCTGCTGGGATCCGTCCCAGTTAAGGGACACCCGTGATTGGGATCACTTGGACTTTTTTTTTTTTTTTTACAGGGCGCCTGTCTCTTGAATCCTCTAGTTCAATGTTTCCCAAACTTGACCATTTTAAGGCATGTGGACTTCAACTCCCAGAATTCCACAGCCAGCAACGCTGGCTGTGGAATTCTGCGAGTTGAAGTCCACATGCCTTAAAATGGTCAAGTTTGGGAAACACTGCTCTAGTTCTGCACCTGATAGGATTTCTCTTTCTTTCCCCCCCTTCCAGAGATGCCAAGTGTGGGAAAATCCAGTGTCAAAGCTCAGCTGCCAAGCCCAAAGGGACGAACACCATCTCCATGGACACCACCATCCGGTTTAACGGGCAGGAGATCAAGTGCCGAGGGACCTTAGTCTACGCCACCAAGGATGACGAGGGAGACCTCTCCGACCCGGGGCTTGTGATGACGGGCACCAAGTGTGGAGAAGGGTTGGTGAGTCCTCCAGAGAAGGGAAAGAGCAGTCAGCTTTTCTGCCTTCCATGTTTCACGATGCAATAATAGGTCATGCAGTGGCCAGAGACTCAGCAAAGCAGCTGGACTTTTTTTTAATAATAATAATAATAATAATAATAATAATAATAATAATAATAATAATAATAATAATAGTAGTAAAGTTGGAAGGGACCTTGGAGGTCATCTAGTCCAACCCCCTGCTCAGGCAGGAAACCCTACACCATTTCGGACAAATGGCTGTCCAGTCTCTTCTTAAAAACTTCCAGTGTTGGAGCATTTACTGCTTCTGGAGGCAGGCTGTTCCACTGATTAATTGTTCTCACTGTCAGGAAGTTTCTCCTTAGTTCTAGGTTGCTTCTCTCCTTGATTAGTTTCCACCCATTGCTTCTTGTCCTGCCTTCAGGTGCTTTGGAAAATAGCTTGACTCCCTCTTCTTTGTGGCAGCCCCTGAGATATTGGAACACTGCTATCATGTCCCCCCTCGTCCTTCTCTTCATTAAACTAGACATACCCAATTCCAGCAACCGTTCCTTATATGTTTTAGCCTCCAGTCCCCTAATCATCTTTGTTGCTCTTCTCTGTACTCTTTCTAGAGTCTCAACATCTTTTTTACATCGTGGTGACCAAAACTGGATGCAGTATTCCAAGTGTGGCCTTACCAAGGCATTGTAAAGTGGTATTAATACTTCACGTGATCTTGATTCTATCCCTCTGTTAATGCAGCCTAGCACTGTGTTGGCCTTTTTGGCAGCTGCAGCACACTGCTGGCTCATATTTAAGTGATTGTCTACTAGGACTCCGAGGTCCCTCTCACAGTTACTACTATTGAGCATGGTGCCACCTATGCTGTACTTGTGCATTTGGTTTTTCTTGCCTAAATGTAGAACCTTGCTTTTTTCACCATTGAATTTCATTTTGTTAGTTAGTGCCCAGTGTTCAAGTCTGTCCAGATCCTTCTGTATCTTAAGCCTGTCTTCTGGAGTGTTGGCTATTCCTGCCAGCTTGGTGTCGTCTGCAAATTTGATGAGTTCCCCATCTATCCCTTCATCCAAAGTGTTGATGAAGATGTTGAAGAGTACTGGGCCCAGAACAGAGCCCTGGGGCACCCCACTACACACTTCCCTCCATATAGATGCAGTTCCATTGAGGACCACTCGCTGAGTACGGCCGGTCAGCCAGCTACGGATCCATCTGGTGGTGGTTCTGTCTACCCCACCTTTATCTATCTTGTCAAGTAGTAGGTTGTGATCTACTTTATCAAATGCCTTACTGAAGTCCAAGTAAATTATGTCCACAGCATTCCTCTGATCCCCTAATTTTGTCACTTGGTCAAAGAATGCAATAAGATTTGTCTGGCATGATCTATTTTTGACAAACCCATGTTGGCTTTTAGTAATGACTTTGTTTGCCTCTAGGTGTTCGTTGATTCGTTGACACAGCAAGCTAGAAAAAGGGAATAATAGTAGTAATAATAATAATAATAATAATAATAATAATAATAATAATAATACCATCAAACATCCACATCTGCCTATCCTAGGTCCTTGGCAAGGACTCGATAGGTAGACAAAAATGCCAAAACCAGTCTGAACATCTGGCTGACTGTGCGATGATGATGATGATGATGATGATTATTATTATTAACACCATTGGCATTGACAAATTCGCTATTAGTCAATTGCAAAAGACAGCCTTACTAGGAACTGCTTCCATCCTGCGACGATACCTGTAATACCATCAAACATCCACATCTGCCTATCCCAGGTCCTGGGTAAGGACTCGATGGGTAGACATAAGGCCAAATCCAGTCTGAACATCTGGCTGACTGTGCGATGATCGATAATAATAATAAAGTTGGAAGGGACCTTGGAGGTCATCTAGTCCAACCCCCTGCTCAGGCAGGAAACCCTACACCATTTCGGACAAATGGCTGTCCAGTCTCTTTTTAAAAACTTCCCATGTTGGAGCATTTAGCGCTTCTGGAGGCAGGTTGTTAATAATAACAATAATAATGTTGGAAAGGACCTTGGAGGTCATCTAGTCCAACCCACTGCTCAGGCAGGAAACCCTAGACCATTTCAGACAAATGGTTGTCCAGTCTCTTCTTAAAGACTTCCAGTGTTGGAGCATTCACCGCTTCTGGAGGCCGGTAGTTCCACTGGTTAATTGTCCTCACTGTCAGGAAGTTTCTCCTTAGTTCTAGGTTGCTTCTTTCCTTGCTTAGTTTCCATCCATTGCTTCTCATCCTGCCTTCAAGTCCTTTGGAGAATAGCTTGACTCCCTCTTCTTTGGGGCAGCCCCTGAGATACTGGAAGACTGCTATCCTGTCCCCCCTCGTCCTTCTCTTCCTTAAACTAGACATACCCAGTTCCAGCAACCGTTCCTTAATTATCAGGGAGAAAACCTGTTTATGCAGCTCCTAAGTGTCAATTTTGTTTTTTGATTATGTGACTTGATGGAACATAATGAATCAGACTTCTTTAATCACAACTGACTCTCAAATCATTTCAGAACATCCCTTCTCATTTGCTAATAATGACTTTTTTTTGGGTGGGGGGAATTTTCCTTGCAGGTGTGCAAAGACCAGCGGTGTCAAAACGCGTCCTTTTTCGAAGAGGATAAATGCATCTCCAAATGTCACGGCCACGGGGTGAGTCGGCAGCAAAAGCCTTGTGGCTTATTTCATTTTCTGAATTAAAGCTTTTATTGATTTTTCTCTTACATACATATGTTAGTTTTTTCCATCGACCAGCTGTCTGGAATCAACAATGCTAATGCATATTCCACTCCTAATCCTTCATTCTTTCTTCTAGCCAATGGGAGAATACGTCGCAAGTTTGATAGTAGTCTGTATCTTCTTTATCCTTCCATCTCAACGATAATCTGTCCATCTCCGCGCATTCCAATAGTTTTCGGATTATTTCTTCTTCTGGTGGAAGTGCTTCATTTTTCCAATATTGCGCAAAAGTTATTCTTGCCGCTGTAGTGACGTGTAAAATCAAATACAGGCTTTGTTTGTTAATCTTTTCAGGCATTATACCTAACAAGAAAAGTTCATGTTTTCTAACCAGGCATGTATATATTTCTGAAGTTAGATGCCAACCTTCTCCTTTGGGCGAATGTGGGGTGGGGCAAAAATGAGACGAGAATTTCATTTAATGCATCGCAATTTTCAAACAAGAGGCAGATAAACCCTTTTGCACGTGTCTCCAGCAACTCTATAGATTACAAGTAGGTCCTCTGCTTACAACGGCTCGTTTAGTGGCTGTGAGAAGTTACAATGGCACTGGAAAAAGGGACTTACAACCATTTTTCACACTTCTGACCCATATTTATGATGGTCGCAGCGTCCTGGGGACAATAATAATAATAACAACAACAACAACAACTGGAGAAGATAACAAAATACAAAGACCTACAAATAGAAATAGAAAGACTGTGGCAAAGGCAAGCAAGGGTAGTACCAATAGTCATAGGCTCCTTGGGTGCAATCCCAAAACAACTGGAGCACCACTTGAACACCATTGGCATTGACAAATTCGCTATTAGTCAATTGCAAAAGGCAGCCTTACTAGGAACTGCTTCGATCCTGCGACGATATCTGTAATACCATCAAACATCCACATCTGCCTATCCCAGGTCCTGGGTAAGGACTCGATAGGTAGACAAAATGCCAAATCCAGTCTGAACATCTGGCTGACTGTGCGATGATCCATAATAGTAAAGTTGGAAGGGACCTTGGAGGTCATCTAGTCCAACCCCCTGCTCAGGCAGGAAACCCTATACCATTTTGGACAAATGGCTATCCAGTCTCTTCTTAAAAACGTCCAGTGTTGGAGCATTCACCGCTTCTGGAGGCAGGTAGTTCCACTGGTTAATTGTTCTCAATGTCAGGAAGTTTCTCCTTAGTTCTAGGTTGCTTCTCTCCTTGGTTCGTTTTTTTGTTGACCTTTTGACAAGCAAAGTCAAGACTCACTCCACACGCTCTCTGATTGTCTTAGGTTTGTAACAGCAACCACAACTGTCATTGTGATGCTGGCTGGGCTCCTCCTTTCTGCGAGAAGCCGGGGCTGGGAGGCAGCGTTGACAGCGGCCCCGTCCAGCAAGACCGTGAGTTTCTCCCCCCCTTTTTCTCTCTTGCTCTCTCCTTTCTCCTCCTCCTCCTCCTCCTCCCTCTTCTTCTTCTCCTTCTCAACCTTCATATTCTCCTTCTTCCCCTTCTCTCTTTCCCTTTCTCTTTCTTTTCCTTTTCCTCCTCCTCCGCCTTCTCTTCTTTCTCCCCCTCCTCCTCCCTCTCCCTCCTTCTCTTGGATGGATGGATGGAAGGAAGGAAGGAAATAAGGGGGGAAGGATGGATGGATAAATGGAAGAAGGGATGGATCTAAGGGATGGATGGAAATATGGATGGATAAATCAAAGGATTGATGGATGTGATGGATGGAAAGAAGGAAGGAAGGAAATAAGGATGGAAATATAGATGGATAGATGGAAGGATGTATGTATGTAAGGGATGGATGGATGGAAGGAAGGAAGGAAGGAAGGAAATAAGGGTGGAAGGATGGATAGATAGATAGATGGAAGGATGGATGGATGGAAGGGATGAATGGAAGGAAGGAAAAGGGTGGAAGGATGGATAGATAGATGGAAGGATGGATGGAAGGAAGGGATGGATGGATGGAAATATAGAAGGATGGAAGGATGGATGGATGGAAGGGATGTATGTATGGATGGAAGAATGGAAGGAAGGAAGGAAGGAAATAAGGGTGGAAGGATGGATGAATGGATGGAAGGAAGGAAGGAAATAAGGGTGGAAGGATGGATAGATAGATGGAAGGATGGAAGGGATGGATGGATGGAAATATAGAAGGATGGAAGGATGGATGGATGGAAGGGATGTATGTATGGATGGAAGGAAGGAAGGAAGGAAATAAGGGTGGAAGGATGGATGGAAGGGATGAATGGATGGAAGGAAGGAAGGAAGGAAATAAGGGTAGAAGGATGGATGGATGGAAGGAAGGAAATAAGGGTAGAAGGATGGATGGTTTGAAGGGATGAATGGATGGATGGAAGGAAGGAAATAAGGGTGGAAGGATGGATAGATAGATGGAATGATGGATGGATGGAAGAAAGGAAATAAGGGTGGAAGGATGGATGAATGGATGGGAGGAAGGAAGGAAGGAAGGAAAAAATGATGGAAGGATGGATAGATGAAAGGATGGATAGATGGAAGAGATGGATGGATGGAAATATAGAAGGATGGAAGGATGTATGTATGTAAGGGATGGATGGAAGGAAGGAAATAAAGGTGGAAGGAGGGATAGATAGATGGAAGGATGGATGGATGGATGTAAGGGATGGATGTATGGATGGAAGAATGGAAGGAAGGAAATAAGGGTGGAAGGAGGGATAGATAGATGGAAGGATGGATGGATGGATGTAAGGGATGGATGTATGGATGGAAGGATGGAAGGAAGGAAATAAAGGTGGAAGGAGGGATAGATGGATGGAAGAATGGATGGTAGTCTACGTGGGGCACCTGAAGTCTGCAGCTGTGACGTTCTCCTCCTTCTCCATGGACTCGCTCACAGATTATGAAGCCATCTTGATCACTTTGCTGGTGATCTTCCTGCTCTTGGTGCCCTCTCTGCTTCTGGGGCTCTACACCTGCTACAAACGAGAGAGTTCGCCCCTCAACAAGTGGGTCAAGGACTTAAGGAAGAGGCAGACGATCGGCAGGTGGGCAGCTCCCTAACCATGTGTGAACCCTTTTCTTCTCTCCTCCTAATCCTCGCCTCGCACCCTGTTTTTTCCTCCTCACCGTTAGTTGCTGATTCACTGCACGGATAACCCTTGCACCCAAACTATTTTTCACGGAAAGGCACCCCTAACTCACCTGTGGGCCCTCGTCCACAGAGCCTGCTTTTAACCCAGTTGCAAACGAACCCACTTTCGGTTTCCTTAAGCCATAAATTCAGCCGGTAGCCCTGATTCGCTCCGGGGGGCTAAGCTGATTCTCATCTCCCCATGGTGAACTCATGGCTAATCCAGTTGTGTCCTGACAGTTAGAACCATTAACCAGTGGAACTACTGGCCCCCAGAAGCAGTGAATGCTCCAACACTGGAAGTCTTTAAGAAGAGACTGGACAGCCCTTTGTCCAAAATGGTATAGGGTTTCCTGCCTGAGCAGGGGGTTGGACTAGATGACCTCCAAGGTCCCTTCCAACTTTATTATTATTATTATGGATCATCGCACAGTCAGCCAGATGTTCAGACTAGATTTGGCATTTTTGTCTACCTATCGAGTCCTTCCCAAGGCAGATGTGGATGTTTGATAGTATTACAGATCTCGTCGCAGGATGGAAGCAGTTCCCAGTAAGGCCGCCTTTTGCAATTGACAGATGGTGAATTTTTCAGTGCCGATGATGGTGTTCAAGTGGTGCTCCAGTTGTTTTGGGATTGCACCCAAGGTGCCTATGACTATTGGTATCACCCTTGCTTGCTTTTGCCACAGTCTTTCTATTTGTAGGTTTTTGTATTTTGTGATCTTCTCCAGTTCTTTCTCCTCTGTTCTGCTGTCTCCAGGCACTGCCACGTCCACTATCCAGACTTTTTTGTCTTTCTTATTGACAATTGTTAAGTCTGGGGTGTTATGTTGCAGGTGCTTGTCTGTTTGAATTCTGAAGTCCCAGAGCAGTTTAATTTTATCATTTTCTATGACTTTCTCTATTTTATGATCCCACCAGTTTTTGCTTACATGCAAATGATATTTTTGGCAGATCTTCCAATGCACCATCGTTGCTACTTTGTCATGCCGCTGCTTGTAGTCAGTCTGTGCAATCTTCTTGCAACAGCTTACCAGGTGGTCCACTGTTTCTTCAGCTTCTTTGCATAGGCAGCACTTACTGTCTGTTGCTGTCTTCTCAATTTTGACTTTATATGTATTTGTCCTTAAGGCTTGGTCTTGTGCAGCCAGAATTAGTCCCTCGGTCTCTTTCTTCAATTTTCCTGCTCTTAGCCATTGCCAGGTTATTATCTGCTTTCCCAGCTATTTTTTTAAATGTATTGGTTGTTGTTGTTGTTACGGATCATCACAGATGTTCAGACTGGATTTGGCATTTTGTCTACCTATCGAGTCCTTACCCAAGACCTGGGATAGGCAGATGTGGATGTTTGATGGTATTACAGATATCGTCGCAGGATGGAAGCAGTTCCTAGTAAGGCTGCCTTTTGCAATTGACTAATAGCGAATTTGTCAATGCCAATAGTGTTCAAGTGGTGCTCCAGTTGTTTTGGGATTGCACCCAAGGAGCCTATGGCTATTGGTACTACCCTTGCTTGCTTTTGCCACAGTCTTTCTATTTCTATTTGTAGGTCTTTGTATTTTGTTATCTTCTCCAGTTCTTTCTCGTCTATTCTTCTGTCTCCAGGCACTGCCCCATCCACTATCCAGACTTTTTTGTCTTTCTTATCGACAATTGTTAAGTCTGGGGTGTTATGTTGCAGGTGCTTGTCTGTTTGAATTCTGAAGTCCCAGAGCAGTTTAACTTTATCATTTTCTATGACTTTCTCTATTTTTGAGAACCACCAATTCTTGCTTACAGGCAAATGATATTTCTTGCAGATCTTCCAATGCACCATTGTTGCTACTTCGTCATGCTGCTGCTTGTAGTCAGTCTTCAGCTTTTTTGCATAGGCGGCACTTATTGTCTGTTGCTGTCTTCTCAATTTTGACTTTATATGCATTTGTCCTTAAGGCTTGGTCTTGTGCAGCCAGAATTAGTCCCTCAGTCTCTTTCTTCAATTTTCCTGCTCTTAGCCATTGCCAGGTCTTGTTATTATCTGCTTTCCCAGCTATTTTTTAAATGTGCTGGTTGTTGTTGTTGTTGTTATTGTTGTTGTTGTTGTCTTCGTCATCATCATCATCATCATCATCATCTCTTAAAGCAATCTGGTATAGCCCCATCCAAAGGAGAGATGGATGCTGGAAACAACCCAACACTTTTTCATTCAAGGCAGCAAACTTAATTATGTATAACATAATCTCGAGAATTATTTCACCGTTTGGCTGTCATCATCTTCTTGTTATAAAATGAAAAATAATTGATCCCAGTGGGGAAAAGACAATGGAGAAATCATTAAAAGGGATGGCAGCTTTGGTGGGGTAGGGGGGGAGAGAGAGAGAAAAAAGGAAGGGTCTTCAATCAACGTTCATTCTGCCCCCCCCCCCCAATTAGGGCCCTAATTGAGGTCACAATTACAGCCATAACCCCTCAACGGAGAGTCCCCGACTTATAGCCATAATGGGACCTACAATTACAGCCGCAAACTATAATGCTTCTTAAGCCGGTTACAGTGTGGCTTATATGCCCAATTTTACTGTTTTTTTCGCCACAGTTTGTTAAGCGATTCCGTGGTTTGCTATGGAGCTTTTGAGGGGGGGGGGGCCTGGAAAGTGCAAAACAGGCAACAGCTGTCAATTTTGAGCTGTTTGCTGAGCGCCCCAAATCTCGTCATGGGACCGAGACTTCTGATCTAAGTCGTGGGTAACTTTGGGGACCTCCGTCGTAACTCCAAACCTTCGCTAAGCGGCTCGTCGTAATTCAGGAGGGGGGCTTCTTTGCAAGCTTGGAAAAGATCCAACTTTGAAGTCATATCCATATACGTCCTCATATTTTTCATGCTAGCTTGGAGACCGCAGCGCCTTTAAGCCTCTCGTAGGATAGTCACCGGGTGGGTGACAGACTTAACAACCACAGAGGTTCCTTTAATGCAGTGGTTCTCAACCTTTTTAATGCCGCGACCCCCAACCGGTCGTAAGTCGAGGACTACTCAACGGGTTGTAAGTCGAGGACTACTCAACTGGTGCAGCACCGTTTGCAGAATGGGACTTTTGGCGGACTCAGCAGGGCAGAGACAGCCTGGACAATTCCTATTGGCTTTGGAAAGCCAATAGAATTAGACTCTATTCGAGAGAGTCTCTTCTATTGGCTTTCAAAAGCCAATAGAATAAAATGGAGTAGCCCAGCTAAGGAAAAGGGGAAAAAAAATGGCGGACTGTGTTGTTTGGTGACCCCCGTGAAATGGTCGTTCGACCCCAAATGGGGTCCCGACCCACAGGTTGAGAACCACTGCTTTAATGACCGAGGCAAGAAAAGTCGTAAAATGGGGCAACCCCCCCTCAAAAAAACCCAGGAATTTTGGGCTTCAGTTGTGGCCTACCTGTACACTGAGTTTCAATTCAGAATTGCAATGGGCAGACCTGAAAGCGATCTTCGTTTTTTTCCCAACGTTTAAGGTTTTTTTAAATAATAATAATAATCAAGTTGGAAGGGACCTTGGAGGTCATCTAGTCCAACCCCCTGCTCAGGGAGGAAATCCTAGACCATTTCAGACAAATGGCTGTCCAGTCTCTTCTTAAAGACTTCCAGTGTTGGAGCATTCAAAGCTTCTGGAGGCAGGTTGTTAATAATAATAATAATAATAATGTTGCAAGGGACCTTATAGGTCATCTAGTCCAACCCCCTGCTCAGGCAGGAAACCCCTATCCCATTTCAGACAAATGGCTATCCAGTCTCTTCTTAAAGACTTCCAGTGTTGGAGCATTCTCCGCTTCTGGTGGCAGGTTGTTCCACTGGTTAATTGTTCTAACTGTCTCCGAAAATTCCTCCTTCGTTCTAGGTTGCTTCTTTTAATCTGTTCTTTCTTTCTGTTTTTTTGCGACAGAAACGGAATTCTTCGTCAGAAAACAACGCAAGGACACTCTAATTCCGGCTTCACTTTGCAGGATATTTCCTGCACTAATAAAGGGAAGTCCAGCACTACCAGCCAGGTGAACAAACTCATCCCAGCTCAAACGTTTTGTGGTCCATTTGAAGGCTGATTATGAAACAGGTAGTCCTCAACTTACGACCACAAATGAGCAACACGTTACTAAGCCAGACAGTGGTTTAATTGGACTTTGCTCCATTTTACGACCTTTGCACACATTTTAAGCCAGGGGTCTTTAAAGTTGGCCCTTTGTTGACTTGTGGACTTCAACTCCCAAAATGCCTCAGCCAGCATGAACGCCTGCTTTCAATTATGGTCGTAAGTCGAGGACCACCTGTATAGTTTTGCAGTGCCCTAATATTTTGAGAGAGAGCCATTTGGTGTTCTGGTTAAGGCATCAGGCAGCACTAGAACTCACTGTCTCCTGGTGATTGGTCCAAAGTCAACCAGTTGCCTTTCATGCTTAAGGCGGGACTAGAACTCACCGTCTCCTGGTGATTGGCCCACAGTCACCCAGCCAGCTTTCATGCCTAAGGCGGGACTAGAACTCACCGTCTCCTGGTGATTGGCTCATAGTCACCCAGCCAGCTTTCATGCCTAAGGCGGGACTAGAACTCAACTGTCTCCTGGTGATTGCCCCAAAGTCAACCAGTTGCCTTTCATGCTTAAGGCGGGACTAGAACTCACCATCTCCTGGTGATTGGCCCAAAGTCACCCAGCCAGCTTTCATGCCTAAGGCGGGACTAGAACTCACTGTCTCCTGGTGATTGGCCCATAGTCACCCAGCTGGCTTTCACATCTAAGGCGGGACTAGAACTCACCGTCTCCTGTTGACTGGCTCAAAATCACCCAGCTGGCTTTCATTCCTAAGGCAGGACTAGAACTCACCATCTCCCAGTGATTGGCCCAAAGTCACCCAGCCGGCTTTCATGCTTAAAGTGGGACTAGAATTCACCATCTCCTGGTGATTGGCCCAAAGTCACCCAGCTGGCTTTCATGCCTAAAGCAGGACTAGAACTCACCGTCTCCTGGTTTTTAACTCGGTGCCTTCACAACTGGCAATTTCTACCTGGGAACCTCCTGACCCCCCTTTTTTTTTTCTCTCTCTCCTCAGGTAGCAAGAGGCGTTTCCCTGCTTAAGCCCAACCCTCCTCAAGGGGGTCCCCACCCCATCAACGTGGTACGACCCTTACGGCCCAGCTGCGGCCCCTCGGCCCCCCTCCAGAGGGACCCCAAACCTTCCAGGCCTCCCCCACTGCCGTTCCACGGATCGCCCGCCATGCCTCCGAAAGCTGGGTCTGGGGGTCCCGCCAAACTGCCCCCTCCGAAGAAGCCTCTTCCGAGCGCCCCTGTCCGACCCCTTCCGGTGAGTTGCCTGCTCCCATTCCCCCGAGGAGTTGTGTGTGTGTGTTAGTTCTGGCACCTCCAATTTGCCACTGGCAGGTTTTAGATATCCAGATATTTCCCCTGCAGGGCATGGGGAATTCTGGGAGTTGAAGTCCAGCCATCTTAAACCTGGCTGAAGTTGAGAAAGGCTGTCTTAGACCCACCTTATTGCTCTCTTGTTTTCTCCTCCTGGCAGCTCAACCCACAGCGGAGACCACCTTACAGACCCCTCCCCAAGACTCTTCTGGCGAAAGACGTGGTCTCAGCTCCGAGTCCGGCCTTGCTGGTCATGGTCGCCCCGACCAACGCCAAGCCATCAGGCACCGGGGCCTTGAACCATCTCTCCAAACCTCTCAAGTAAGTTGGCCGTGAAAGATGACGCCGCCTTCGGGAACCGAAAACGGGCCGAGGAACGGAAATCCACGTAAAAGGGCAAAAAGGATTAGAACTCACCGTCTCTGGGTGATTGGCCCAAAGTCACCCAGCCGGCTTTCACGTCTAAGGCGGGACTAGAACTCACAGCCTCCCGGTGATTGGCCCATAATCCCCCAGCTAACGTTCATGCCTAAAGTGGGACTAGAACTCACCATCTCCTGGTGATTGGCCCAAAGTCACCCAGTTGGCTTTCATGTCTTAGGCAAAACTAGAACTCACCCATCTGTCCAAAGTGTCTCAGCTGGCATTCATGCCTTTGGCAGAACTATAACTCACTATCTCCTGGCGATCAGCCCAAAGTCACCCAGTCGGCTTTCATTCCTAAGGTGGGACTAGAACTCACCGTCTCCTGGTGATTGGCCCAAAGTCACCCAGCTGGCTTTTAGACCTAAAGCAGAACCAGAACTCACACTCTCCTAGTTTCTAGCCTCCTGCCTTCACTATTGGAGCAAACTGGATCCCTTGGTGGCCCATCACGTTAACCATTTTATATATAAAATATATATCTTCAGGCTGGTGTTTTCGGCTTCGTGCTTCTAGGAGCAATGTGTGATGAGGCATGACCAGAAGCCAGACCACAGCTGCATCATTAGCCACTTTAAACCCCTCCAATCCATACATGAAGCAAACTGACACTCACCATAAAGATGAGGCACGACCACAAACGTGAAGCCAAACAACACCAACGCAGCTCACCATCTCAAACCCCCTGCAACTCAGACTAACTCGAGCACAACAAAGCCCCAAAATATATTTTTTCTGGTTCTTCTGACAAATTTCTTTTGTTGCCTTTCTTCTTTCTTTAGATCCCTCCCAGGCTTCAAAGTCCAGCCCGCATCTTTCCCCTTCAAGAAGTGACAAGGCTTGGTCATCCTCGCCTTCCTCATTTGCACTACTGCGGGTCCAACGCAGGGATTTTTTGTTACCAGAGAACTTTTCAACCTTGGGGGGGGGTATATTTTGGGGGGGGGATGGAACCACCCCCAAAAACGAAGAAACAGAGCTGTGGTCATCGGTCCTCTTGTGGGGCTGTCGAGAGTAGGAGAACCTTGAGGCGCGTGGCTTCAACTGATCCACAGAAGCTTTGCGAGCGTGACGATATCCTGACCTACCTCCTTGTTTTGCACAACGTGGCAAGATGTTCTCTCCTGGACGGTCGTTTCAGTTGGGTAGACCTGCTCCCCAAGTTGGTCTCACCGGTTTACAGGTTGATATACCAGCTTTCCAGATGTACGATGGAGCAGAGCCTGAGATGAAACCAGCTTACCCGTTGGGACATCCTTCCAGGACATTGGGCTAGGCTCCCAACCTCTCTTTGGAACATGAGTCAAATCTAGATGGTCTGGAAGAGACCAGCTTGGGAAAGATGGTGTAAAGTCCAAGGGGTTAATGGGTTTTGCTTGAGTCCTTGTTGACATCATCACGAGAAGAAGGCTGTCTCAGCAGACCTCCCATGATTCCAGAAAACGGGAAGGGCCTTGGGAAATGTCTTGATTGCCTGGAAGGGTGCAGATGTCCCTTGGGCGACCTCTTGGTTCCTTGAAGGGGGGAGGCCCAAGGTCTCATTGGGTACAGGAAACATGGTGTCTTTTAACTCTCCTCCCTCCAGTTATGATGGATGGACATCCTGTTCCTGTCCATCCTCTCTCACTCTGTCCCACCACCCAGGGCCATGAACATCTCAGATGGTGGACTGAGTCTTGAAGTCCATCCAGCATCCTGTTCCTGTCCATCCTCTCCCACTCTGTCCCACCACCCAGGGCCAAGAACATCTCAGATGGTGGACCGAGTCTTGAAGGCCTCCCAGCATCCTGTTCCTGCCCATCTTCTCCCACTCAGTCCCACCACCCAGGGCCAAGAACATCAGAGATGGTGGGCCGAGTCTTGAAGTCCACAGCATCCCGTTCCTGTCCATCCTCTCCCGCTCCGTTCCACCACCCAGGGCCAAGAACATCTCAGATGGTGGACCGAGTCTTGAAGTCCATCCAGCATCCTGTTCCTGTCCATCCTTTCCCACTCTGTCCCACCACCCAGGGCCAAGAACATCTCAGATGGTGGACCGAGTCTTGAAGGCCTCCCAGCATCCTGTTCCTGCCCATCTTCTCCCACTCAGTCCCACCACCCAGGGCCAAGAACATCAGAGATGGTGGGCCGAGTCTTGAAGTCCACAGCATCCCGTTCCTGTCCATCCTCTCCCGCTCCGTTCCACCACCCAGGGCCAAGAACATTTCAGATGGTGGACCAAGTCTTGAAGTCCACCCAGCATCTTGTTCCTGTCCATCTTCTTCCACTCCGTCCCACCACCCAGGGCCAAGAACATCTCAGATGGTGGACCGAGTCTTGAAGTCCACCCAGCATCCTGTTCCTGTCCATCCTCTCTCACTCTGTCCCACCACCCAGGGCCAAGAACATCTCAGATGGTGGACCGAGTCTTGAAGTCCACCCAGCATTTTGTTCCTGTCCATCTTCTTCCACTCCGTCCCACCACCCAGGGCCAAGAACATCACAGCTGATGGACCAAGTCTTGAAGTCCACCCAGCATCCTGTTCCTGTCCATCTTCTCCCACTTCATCCCACCATCCAAGGTGGAGAAGGTGGTGGAGATGTTGCCACGTTCTATGTGTCCACCTTACTTGGTGGGACACTTTCTGAAATGGTGGTTGGTTGGGTAGGGGTCGACCACATGGGAGAAGAAAGCCAGGAAGGGCGGGATAGTGGTTAGAGATGCAGCTCAGCCCCATGATGGACCCCTGATGATGGTCATCTCCCATTCCAATCTTCTGTTGGGCCTACAGGAAACACCAGATTGGGATTGAAATGATTTAGAGAGTCTGGCGTTCACACCCGTGATCAGAAAAGCCAACATCTTCTCTGATTTCAGATGGGAAAGAGGGAGACACGCTTCACAGGGAGTCCTCGACTTACGACCACAATTGAGCCCAAAATATCTGCTGCTAGGCGACAAGGTTGTTAAGTGAGTTTAGCCCCGTTTGGTGGCCTGCCTCACCCAAATTGTTAAAACCACCCCTGCAGTTGTTAAGTTAATCACACTTTAAGTCGTGTGAAGCTGGCTTCCCCCGTCGATGTTGTGTGTTGGACCGACGCAAAAGAGGATCACGTGACACCCCGCCCCCCCGGGACATGGCGACCGTCGTTAAATACGAGCCGGTTGTCCAGCGTCCGAATTTTGATCCTGTGACCGACGGTCGTTAAGTGTGAAAAAGGCTCCCAAGTCCCTTTTTTCGGTGCCGTTGTAATTGCGAATGGTCGCTAAACGAACCAAGGACTGCCTACCTTCACACACGCCTTCCTTGTGGATCTGTGTCTCAGGAAGAATAAAAATGCACCTTTTTGCTCTCAAGAATGGCGCTGGGTAGACCAAGCCCACAGTCGGACCCCGGACCCTGTGAACTTTCGGGGACCCCTCCCTCTGGACCCGAGGGGGCGGGGCTAAATGCCCAGCCTAATTCCCACGATCTAGGAACACGTCCCAACACGGAGCAGGTGCCTTCTTCTCCCCCACCCCCTAGGCCTTCTCCACAGCCCCTTCCGGTCTCCGACCAATTGCTCCTGAGCCCAAGAACAGGGCCTGCGCCCCCTTCTCTCCTTTGAGACGCACTGATGACCTCTGGGTAGCCCGCTGTTGCCTTGCGGATGCTGGCATTCCTCTGCCGAGTGCTTCCCCCCCCCCATGTGTGGGGATGCCACTGCGTTGCTAGAAGGTTCTTTCGACTTATGGGGGGGGGAATATTTCAAACCGGTCCCCCCCAATCGGAACCTTCTAGCTTTTTCTTTATCTCTCCCCCCCCCCAAGCTCTGTTTCGCTATTTCTTTAGACGGGGGGGGGGGGTGTCTTCAAACTTGGCGACTTTTAAGACTTATGGACTTCAATTCCGCAGCCAGCCATCATGGCTGGCTGGGGAATTCTGGGAGGTGAAGTCCACAAGTCTTAAAGGTCGCCAAGTTTGGGGACAACCCCCTCCCCCAATTTCCTTAGACAATTTCGCTACGTATATTTCCACACGAAGAAGACCACTTGAAAAACCCGGTCTTCTGAAAGCTTTAGGCCCTTTTTAATAATAATAATAATAATAATAATGACGATAATAAATAAATACTTTTTTAAAAACGGAAATCCTAGTCTGTCGTTTTGGGAGATGATACGGGGGGGGGGGACGAGAGACAATGTCCGTTGCGTCTCGTGCTGAGGGTAGGGGTGGGGGCCCTCCAAGTTGTTGGGAGTGTGTCATTCTGGGGGGGGGGGCTGTCTTTTAGGGTGCCCCCCCCCTTTGTTGTCTTGCTTGAGAGGATGAAGCACGCCTGGGAAGGTTTTTTTGCAATCGTAGGGACGAGATTCCCAAGCTTTGCATCACGACGTGGTAGTCCTCCACTTACAACCACAAAGAAGCCTCGCGTTTCTGTCGCTAAGCGGGTCAGTCGTTAAGTGAGTTTTGCCTCTTTGGACGACCCTTTTTTTTTTTTGCCAGAGTTGTTAAGCAAATCACCGCAGTAACCCTGGGGGAGGCTGCAAACATGGTCATCAGTGTGTGAAAAACGGTCGCCAGTCATTTCAATGCCGCTATGACTTTGAACGGTCACTGAATGAATTGTTGTAAGTCAAGAAACTACCTGTAAATTGGGGGTGGGTTTTCTCCCTTCTAATCCAGCTCCTGCCTCCTCCTGTTTCTTCAATCTCTCTAAAACAGTGGTTCTCAACCTTTTTAATGCCGCGACCCCCAACCGGTCGTAAGTCGAGGACTACTCAACCGGTCGTAAGTCGAGGACTACTCAACTGGTGCAGCACTGTTGGCAGAATGGGACTTTTGGCGGGCTCAGCAGGGCAGAGATAACCTGGACAATTCCTATTGGCTTTGGAAAGCCAATAGAATTAGACTCTATTCAAGAGAGTCTATTCTATTGGCTTTCAAAAGCCAATAGAATAAAAGGGAATAGCACAGCTAAGGAAAAGGGGGGGAAAATGGCAGACTGCGTTGTTTGGTGACCCCCGTGAAATGGTCGTTCGACCCCAAATGGGGTCCCGACCCACAGGTTGAGAACCACTGCTCTAAAACCTCTTAAAAGTTTTTTTAAAATTTTAATAGTATTTTAATAGTAACAGTACAAGGCCTTGGTAAGGCCACACTTGGAATCCGGCATCCAGTTTTGGTCATCATGATGTTAAAAAGATGTTAAGACTCCAGAAAGAGTCCAGAGAAGAGCAACAAAGATGATTAGGGGACTGGAGGCTAAAACTTACAAGGAACGGTTGCTGGAATTGGGTATGTCCAGTTTAATGAAGAGAAGGACGAGGGGGGACAGGATAGCAGTCTTCCAGTATCTCAGGGGCTGCCCCAAAGAAGAGGGAGTCAAGCTATTCTCCAAAGCCTCTGAAGGCAGGACAAGAAGCAACGGATGAAAACTAACCAAGGAGAGAAGCAACCTGGAACTAAGGAGGAATTTCCTGACAGTCAGAACAATTAACCCGTGGAACAACCTGCCTCCAGAAGCGGTGAATGCTCCAACACTGGAAGTTTTTAAGAAGAGACTGGACAGCCATTTGTCTGAAATGGTCTAGGGTTTCCTGCCTGAGCAGAGGGTTGGACTAGATGACCTCCAAGGTCCCTTCCAACTTTATTATTACTATTATTATTGATCATCGCAGAGTCAGCCAGATGTTCAGACTGGATTTGGCATTTTGCCTACTTATCGAGTCCTTACCAAGGACCTGGGATAGGCAGACGTGGATGTTTGATGGTATTACAGATATCGTCACAGGATGGATGATGATGATGATGATGATGATTACACTTATGACATGACCATCCCAGGCATCCCTACAGTCAGAATTTGGGTGCTTGGCAACTGGCATCTATTTACCACAGTTGCAGCGTTCTGGGGTCACGCAATCTCCATTTGCGACCTTCCCAGCCCGTTTACAAGAGTCGATAGAGGTAGCCAGATCTGCTTAATGACCACGTTGTTAACAACTGCGGCAGAAACGATCCTTAAATTGGCCTGAGCGACTCAGTTAACAATTTATTTGTTTAATAATAGAAATTTTGATCCCAGTTGCAGATGGCACTACTTGATCTGTAAATGTCAGTTATATGGCTGCTGTTGTGCATAATGGCCACCAGATGGCAACAGAGCACCACAATTCAGATTCATGCTCTTTAGATGCATTTTCTGCTCTCTCTCTTTTTTTTTTCTCTTTCGTTTTGTGTATATTTCCAACCCTCTCATGTCTTAATCCTATTTTAATAGTCTTTGTCCTGAAACACATCAAAGATCTCTTGCAGCGGCGGCGAGAAAGGCCCGGAGTCAATTTCTTCTCCCTGCTCTACTAAGGGAAAGTCTGGAGATGCTTTGAAAGGGATCCAAAGAAACCAGCTTTATGAGTGTCCCTGACAGGGAACAAGTCCCGGTGGATGGATTGGATACTCACCGGGACCATATTGGACAGAAGTCAAAGAGGGACGAATGTTAATGAGAAGTGTGGTTGTCATAAAAGACAAAGATTTCCTTGTGATGATCTACACGGAGATGAGACGTTCAAGCCAATCAACATCATAAGCCACGTTTGGAATATTGCACCCGGTTTTGATCACCAGATTATAAAAAAGATGTCGAGACTCTAGAAAGAGTGCAGAGAAGAGCAACAAAGAGGATCAGGGGATTGGAGGATAAACCATATAAGGAAAGGCTGCTGGAATTGGGGATGCCTAGTTTAATGAGGAGAAGGACGAGGAGGGACAGGATAGCAGTCTTCCAAATCTCAAGGGCTGCCCCAAAGAAGAGGGAGTCAAGCTATTCTCCAAAGCACCAGAAGGGCAGGACAAGAAGCAATGGATGGAAACCAATCAAGGAGAGAAGCAACTTGGAATTAAGGAGAAACTCCCTAACAGTGAGGACGATTAACCAGTGGAACAGCTTGCCACTAGAAATGGTAGATGCTCCATCACTGGAGGCTTTTAAGAAGAGACTGGACAGCTATTTGTCTGAAATGCTAGAGAATTTCTTGTTTGAGCAGGGGGGCTGGACTAGATGACCTCCAAGCTCTGTTATTCCGTTCTGTTAAGATCCCGAAGAAATATTCTGCTTTTTGACTTTTGGGGCGTTGGGGGACGCCAAATATTGACATCAAGGTGGACCCGAGTCCTTGTAGAATTTGCATCCTGGTTACTTGACAAGCTGAAAATGTTCTAAGTGGATTCGGGCTGCTAAATACTCCAGGAGGACCTTTGATTTCCAGGTGGCCCCAGATGTTTTGCAGGTCAACTTATGACCACAATCAGTCAGAATTTCCATTGTTAAGCAAAGCACTTGTAGTCGTGGTGGACTTTATGGCCTTTTTTTGTCTTTAAGCGAATCACTTCATCTCTGGATGAGGATGTTTCTTGAGCCTGCATCTTCCTACTGTAAGTCCAACATTTCCACCAGCTCCAGCACCTTGGGTGACCACTACAACCTTCCACACAGCTCAGGGATCTTCAAACTTGGCCCTTTTATGACTTGTGGACTTCAACTCCCAGAATTCCTGAGCCAGCCATGCTGAGGGGAAAGGGAGAGTTTCCAAGCTGAGCCATGCTGGCTCAGGAATTCTGGGAGTTGAAGTCCACAAGTCATAAAGAATCCTAGGCCCTAGGCCAGGGGTAGGCAACCTTGGTTCTTTTATGACTGGTGGACTTCAACTCCCAGAATTCCCGAGCCAACATGGCTCAGCTTGGAAACCTCTCCCTTTCCCCTCAGCATGGCTGGCTCAGGAATTCTGGGAGTTGAAGTCTACAAGTCAGAAAACGGCCTAGGCCTAGGCCAGAGGTGGGCAATCTTGGCTCTTTTATGACTGGTGGACTTCAACTCCCAGAATTCCTGAGCCAGCCATGCTGAGGGGAAAAGGAGAGGTTTCCAAGCTGAGCCATGCTGGCTCAGGAATTCTGGGAGTTGAAGTCCACAAGTCATGAAAGGGCCAAGTTTGAAGACGCCTGATAGAGATGGTCAAAGAATAGAAGAGAATAGAAGAGAAGAGAACAGAACAGAATAGAACAGAACACAGCAGAACAGAACACAACAGAATAGAATAGAACAGAATAATGATAGAATGGAATTGAATATAGAATAGAATAGAACAGAACAGAATAATGATAATAGAATAGAATAGAATAGAATAGAATAGAATAGAATAGAATAGAATAGAATAGAATAGAATGTGAAAAGAGTTCACCTTTGATAGTAGAGGCTCACTTGGGTGACTTTGGGCCAGTCGCTTGTCGTCCTTCCAGCCTACCTTGCAAGATTGTTGTGGGGGAAAATGCGGAGGAAGCATTCTGTACATCACCTTGACAGGCTGAGTGAATAACAGGGTGGACTTCCAGAATCCCCCAGCGAGCAAGCTTTAAGGTGGGTGGATTTCAGCTCCCAGAATTCCCCATCCAGCATGCTTTAAGATGGGTGGGCTTCAATTCCCATAATCCCTCATTCAGCATGTTTTAATATAGGTGGACTTCAACTCCCAGAATCCCCCAGCCAGCATCCTTTAAGATGGGTGGGCTTCAATTCCCAGGATCCCCCAGCCAGCATCCTTTAAGACGGGTGGACTTCAATTCCCAGAATCCTTCACCCAGCATGCTTTAAAATGGCTGGACTTCAACTCCCAGAATTCCCCACCCAGCATGCTTTAAGGTGGGTGGACTTCAACTTCCAGAATCCCCCAGCCAGCATGCTTTAAAATAGATGGACGTCAACTCCCAGAATTCCCCAGCCAGTGTACTTTAAGATGGATAGACTTCAGCTCCCAGAATCCGCTTTAAGATGGGTGGACTTCAACTCCCAGAATCCCCCGACCAGCAATTTTGAACTTTCTGCCTGCCTCTGGCCTTCTTGAGTTCCCCTCTCATCCCACCCACAAAGTTAGACTTCACCTGAACAGGGAGGCTTGATTGCAGAGCCCCAAGGCAAACCCTGTTAGACTCGGGAAGCCCTCCGAGGTGGGACTTCCTCCATCCCAACACCTGCTTGCAACATCACCCGAATCTGCCTCTTCTCCACTCTTTCCACCTGCTCCCTCTCCCCCCCCCCCCAGCTTGTGATTCTGGCTTGTTCGCTTTTAATAACCAGCCACGGTTCGGC